CCACCCCCTCGCTTGTCATTCATGTGTAGAACCGGTTGGAACCGCTTCCTAAAACATTTAAAGATGTGACCGTGAGGAAAAATCATTAAGCGTATACTGATCATGGGCAACATATACCCATACGGCAAAAAATCTATTAACCGGCATTTGACTTCTCACTTCAAATTACCACGACCCCCCTGGTTGTCATATTCGACCCATTTCACAGTACTCACCTTACCTTTTTCTCTACCTTTGTGCCTATCTGCCTCTTTTACATTAGTGAATCGCTCTTCTGATCCCCACCCCTCGATTTTCTACTACTTTGATGAACCTTCCCTCAGTGAAGCCCGAAGTCAGCTAAATGGCTAATGATATCTATCAAAACGCCTGCCATTTGAAATAAATATTGATTATGGGCACTGAGATGCCAATAGCTATTTTTTACCGGACAGCTAATGTAAATTCATGAAGAAGTAAAGTATAGTACAAAATAAGGAAGATGCAAGGTACATCGATGGTAATTTTAAAAATTCAATTATCCTATTGCATAAGATTATTTTATGATTAGATCAAAACAAGAGTGCTATTGTAAGGAGGGTGATCTAAATGTGATCAGCATATATATGAACTCTGAAATATTAAAGAATAAATAACAACGTTCCCAATAATTTTTACAAGCATAAATTAAGGTTAAGTTAAGATACTCTATCTCGGATAATAGCACTGAAAAACAGTGAAAACAAGTCGCTTTCTTTCGAATTCTCAAACCAGCTACTTTGAAACATGGTCATTGAGGGATTATTTTGTTTATTAAGCTGATGATAAGTGCTTTAGCAGAAACGCAATAGCACACGTGTTAGATAGAGAAAAAATCGATAAACGGCTTGTAGGTAGCGGAGATGAGATAGTAACTTGAATTTTAAAGAAAGACGGGAAAGTGAATAAAAAGCAATATGTGAATCGCCAAAAACAGGTAAATGGGAGTTAGTCATGATCTTCCTGCACACATACCCTTCTTGATAGGTGTAACGAGAGGGGAGCTAGCATTACTTTATAACAGACTAATAGAATGCAAATTATTGAATACCATCGTGTATATAGTAAACTTCAAATTATATCTTTATGGTTGCCAAATAGAGGCTAAAGGCCTAGATCTACAAACATATCAACTTGGAAGACATTTAGTAAAGCACTATTTTATTGCTCACTGAATTATTGGCCCAGCTATAGAGCAAAGAGAGAATATTTGGTTCCTAGTGAATAATGATTTAATGGGCATACACTCTAGCCTTGCTTTAATGCTCCATGTTTCATGTCTTAGATACCTCCTAATTGCTCAAGTGGCAGTAGTTTATGTCACTAAGCACTTCCAACCAGTATGGAGCAGATATAAATAAATAAAGACGAAATTAATAACTCTTTTTAATATTCTGCCGTGAAAGTTTATGGAGCGCCGAAATATATCACTTTAAATGTCATGTCACGTCACTAAGATGGTCTCCAAGTTGACAGTCAGATTAACACTACTCTAAGAATCTTGGCGCTTTTGGTCTGGGGAAAACTTCCGTCCACGCGACGATGGGTTTTCTCACAGCTATTAATTATATGAAAATTGAGTTCGAGCCAACTCGTTACCTCGGCTTTTTTCTCTCATGTTCACTCGTTTTGAGTCAATTGCAGTTTGAAACTCCATGAGGATCTTATATTAAAAAGGACATTTCATTGGTGTTAATTAATTAGATAATTTTTTAACTAACCTTGTGAATCGGCCAGAAGATATGCATCGTCCCTCATACTACTGATCTCTGCGGGTGTAAGTTTTTCCACTCCATTGCCTTGATTATTTGTGATAAGACCTGACCTCAAAATGACCGGCAAGATCACACTAGCCTCTGTGGAGGGGCTAGAAGGCGGTAACGGTGGCACTTTATCTTGATGATGATTGCCAAGTGTTACATTGGAATATGACTCTACTTCAGCACCTTTTCCAATCTTCTTTGCCTCTTCTGCGCAGCAATAATCTGAGATTTGATCCTCTATTATTTCTCCCCCCTTTCTCTTATGCTCCTCTGTTTTATTGCCACGTCTGATCATCAGCATTGCTTCCAGGAACTCGAAGATAAAAATGCACGAAAAGCCGATAAAAAGGGAGCAAAGACCACCAATTTCTGAGAAGAGCTTCGCCAAAGAGTAGATCTCCTCTTCTGCCGCAACTTGAACATTTTCCGACCGGAAGAGTTTGAAGTTGGACGTATTTGCTAGAAGATTGGAATCAGGTGGTCCAATTGTAAGAGAATTCTGTTTTATAAACTTTGAAATGATGCAGGGCATTGGACATTGACCATAGTAAACAGGAGAATCACTGCAATAGACGCGCTCACATGTTTCATTTGGACATTTGTCTGTCCCAGTAGACAGAAGCCAATCCATTGAACAAGTACATTCACATTCCATTGCCATTTTCATGCAGCACACCTTCCAGCCACACGCCTCTCGACTGTAAAGAAACTCTGTATTGAAAAGACTAATTGATTTCGCATTCTTTTGTGAAGCTGGTTGCCTCTGATCGTTGGTTCGCATATCTGCGGCTTTGTGATCGGACAAATAGGGTACAGTATTTGTCGGCCAAGCTGGTTTCTTTTTAATAAACAACCGGCGGTGGTCTATGAAATCGAGAAAAGTTCCATTATCGGTTTCCACTAGTGTTTCAGCCAACCATGCCGCGTCTGCGCCATCGTGACAAGGACTCCTGGCAGTGTTTGCACGTTTGGTCACGTACTTTGAGAAGTACACTGCTATTTCTGTCTGTGGAGGAAGTGGGGTGGTAATGGTACGATCATAAGCACTAAAAGGGATTTCTCCCCTTTCATGGGTGATTAAACTGAAAGTGGCCCCAAGAGGATTGGCGCTGTCTGTAGTCCCGGTTGCTATTGCACCTGTTCGCAGATCCTGTTGAATTATGATTTCCACCTGGGACCAACGAAGATCCGGACGTCCAGTTGTCAACTCGAATGTCGTACACATGAAATGACGGATATTTGGGACCTAGAAAGGTATTAAAAGGGTCCATTTAAAGTTGGAATTATAAAAGATGATTTGAGATATCGCAGAGAAATGGGGGGGGGGAGGGAGGGGGGGCCTTGTCTATTTAAGGCTTCAGTGAGTCCAAAAGTCGCCCTCTCTCCCGCAGCCCTAGATAAGTTCTTCGGAGGGAAAAGGTTAGTTTTGGGCTAATTTCATTTCCTCCTTCCAAATCAAATGAACAGAAGTTAAAATATTTCGTTATATTTATATCAAATGGCAGGCGTTTTGGTAATTATCATTAGTCCTTTAGTTGATTTCAGCCTTTACAGAGAGGAAGGAATATCAAAGTGAAAAAAGTCGAGAGAGGGGGGGAATAGAAGAGTGTTTCAAAGATGTAAAAGAGACAGACGCAATGGTAAAAAAGTGTGAGGTGAGTACTATAGAAGTACTCGAATATGACATACAGTGGGGTGATGGTAGTTTGAAGTGGAAGTAGACGAATATGACATACAGTGGGGTGATGGTAGTTTGAAGTCAACTGCCGGTTAATAGATTTTTTGCCGTATGGGTCTGTTGCCCAAATATGACATACAGTGGGGTCATGGTAGTTTGAAGTCAGAGGTCAACTGCCGGTTTATAGACTTTTTGCCGTGTTAGGGTTAGATCAACTGCCGGTTTATAGACTTTTTTGCCGTATGCGCATACGGGTAATAGACTTTTTTGTCGTATGAGTATACGTTGCCCAGAGTACAACACGTGGAGGTAAGTATATCGCACACCCCCATATTTCGTTATAAATCTTTATGAGAGGTATAGTGTTGATGTTAAGGATGGAATTCGGATAGGTGGTGTTTCCAACACCATTTGCTTTAATACAAACATAGCAACCCGATATTGGACCTGTGAAGCTTTCAACTTGAGGATTGATGGATCCGTCGTTAATACATCAGCAAGGCTCTCTTTCCTGGGAATATTCTTAAGCGTATGACAGCTTGGCCTTGACTATCCTTCTTCATTTTGAATTTTGAGTTTTTCCTTATATATCATTGCAATTTAATCAAGCTATCCATTTTCTGCAAGAGTGCTATGTTAAAGTATGTACAATTTTTGCATTTGGGCTTTCTTACTGCTCAAACTGTTGACATTCACTTCTCATAGTTTTGACAGAAACGGTATTTGCTTACATATAACTCTCTCTCGCTTCCAGGAGCAATATTGAAGTCGCTCACTTCTTTAGCACATTTGAGCGCCGTAAATATTTTATTAGCGGGGTGAATTTCACGACTTATTTTACTCTTATTGATCTAAAATGAAGTCTAATATCTCCGATTAGCGTTTTACGCTTAATTACTCAAGGCAGGTAAAAATCGTAATTGGGTTAGTGAAAGCTGAAATGATTTCACCAGGGCCTATTTATAACTTGGAATTAAACTGGTTGAAATATTTTTGTATGAATGATTAGCATTTGACAAGCAAGTTTCTCTCAAAGAGATGAGATATTTTAAAGCTAACTGCAAAGTGTGAATGGGAAGCGAATAGTTGTCAAAATCTGCGATACTCCATTACATCTTATTTAAGCCTGAGGCAAGTAAGTTGACTTAATTTAAAATAAATTAAGACAAATTATGACAATTAATAGTAATGCAATTTTAACGATCCCATATTCGTCCCTCCCTTTTGTTCACTTAAGAAAGAAGTTGGACTACTTGAAATAAGTGGTTTACTTTTTAATAAGTCCATATTCCCTATTTGTTAAAAGGATCCACAACAGATTAGTTTAACTTTAGTGAATAGGAAGATCTGATTACGTGGCATTATGTTGATCTAGTCAAACTATTACTTTTTTTGCTTGAATATATTTCCTTCCCTCTTTAATTCACATTTCCTCGTGTGCAATAGACTTACCTCCACGTGGGACATTCTGGACAACGTATACTAATCCGGCAAAAAAGTCAATTAAACGGCAGTTGACTTCTGATTTCAAACTACCATGACCCCACTGTATATCAAATTCGAACATTTCAACAGTACTCATTTTACCTTTTCTCTGCATTTGTGTCCATCTGTCTCTTTACATCTGTGAATCACTCTTCTTTCCCCCTCACGAAATTTTCTCATTATGATGTTCCTCCCCTCAGTGAAGTCCGAATTCAACTAAAGAACTGATGATAACTATCATAACGCCGGCCATTTGAAATAAACAAATAAATAAATTATCTGAGAAAATCTTTGATCTTAGTAAATTTGAAAGGTCATTGTGTTGTTGCAATTCAATTATTGATTAATAGATTGTAGTTATTGATTAACGTTTAGTAAACTGAAAAGGTTTTCACTGTGCATAAGATACAGACTTCTCATCTGATGACAATAATAAGAGTATTCTAAATCATACCATCCATTAACTTGTGACAATAAAGATTTTCGTCTGCGATATAAGTGATCAAGCGTTTTTCGTCCAGAATGGAATAATCAACATCACCAGTTAATTCTTGAATCACGCGATTTATTTGCTTTTCGGCAAGACCTCACGATAGTGGTCCCGTTGTGAAGCAGTTTTCTTAAATAAGTTTGAAAAATTTAAGCAGAGTCTATCCTGAAATTTGGGCCACTGAAATATCCGAAATCATTTTACTGCAAAAATTAAGAGACTATTCCTTCCATCACTTTCTGTCCAAAATTTGGGTTATTTAAAATAGTTTTGAATACTAATCAAGTCACAATATTTACCATTTATTTCATCAACCAATAAAAAATCAAAGTGTCAGTTTTAAGTGTCAAGTATGGACATTACATTTAATGCTGTTGATGTTGTTTACGTGAATATAAACACAATTTTGAATACAGAATTTATTTAAAATTCTCGAAATTTTAAATCCAAATCAGCTCCCTCTGTTTTATTTCGAGCGAATCTTATGGCGAATTGAAATAAATATCTTGTTAATCTATTAATAAGGGTGGAATCCTAGTTAAACTACTTAAATATATTTCAACAATCCTCAACCCACAAGCCTGAATAAATATTTTAATCAGTAAAGTAATATGTGGAAGTAAGGTTATATCAATTAAATTGGGGTGTGCGATAGACTTACCTCCACGTGGTGCACCCTGGGCAACGTATACTCATACGGAAAAAATGTCTATTAACTGGCAGTTGACTTCTCACTTCAAACTACCATCACCCCACTGTATGCCATATTTGACTACTTCCACAGCACTCACCTCACCTTTTTTCTACCTTTGTGTCTGTCTCTTTTACATCTTTGAATCTCTCTTCTGCTCCCCGTCTTGAATTTTTCTCACTTTGATGTTCCTTTCCCTCTGTGAAGCCCGAAGTCAACTAAAGGGCTAATGATAACCATCAAAACGCTTGCCATTTGATATAAATAAATATCAGTTAAATTTTCATTGGAAGAAAATCATAAATTTAGGGATATATTCAGAATTTGAATATTGACTGTGAACTCAGTGCTTTACCAGTGCACACGATTTTAAGACTGTCAGACCAGCATGCAAATGACTGAAAATGAAGCCTTCTAACCGATAAGCTAATTAATAATTGACATTCAAATAA